TGAGACAACTTTGCAGCTCTCCTCACTGACTCAAAGAAGGTACCACAACACAAATCTGCTTTTACTGAGGTGGTACATCCTGTCACATTTGGTAGGAATGCTTATTTATAAAAGCAGACATTTCCCAGACAAGAACAACACTCAGGAAAAAGAAAACAGAAGTGGTGATGAATGGAAAGGTCCTGAAAATGATTCTAATGTGTTTTCTAAGGGGAAAACAAAGTCAGCGCCACCAGGAGGCCTGGAATGCAGGGCTCCTCAGCTAATTAGCATTCTGTTCCACAAAGGACTTTTCAATGGGAAGCGGCAAAGGGACACAAGTCACCAGGGGCTCAGAGACCAGAAGTGACTGGCAAAGAGAAAGGTTACGGGACTGCCTCTGGCCTGTGGCAACCCTACCCTTACCCCACCACTGTGACATTCCTGAACCATCCCCACTGAACAACAGACACACAATTACCCACTTGCTAAACTCCAAAAGGCCACACATTCTAAACTGTCATTTAAATGACAAGAAACAGAACTCCAATAGTCTTTTTCTCTCCATCCAGCTCAGTTAGAAAGAGCAGCAAAAATATAAAACAACCACAAAGTCAAGGGTTTCACATGCCCAGCCAGACTAGAAACAGATTACTTATTTCTTTATTCTGTGTGTATGTGTATGGGTGCACGCATGCTTGAACGTACCTGTGGTGTGGCAGGTATGTGGAGGTCAGGGGACAACTTGTGGGAGTCAGTTCCTCCTTTACCACATGGGTCCCAGGGATTGAATTCAGGTTGCCACACTTCACAGCAAACACCTTTACCTGCTGAGTCCTCTCGCCAGCCTGTTTCTATTAAGTTATTAGGTACATTTCTACACCCAGTAAATGTGTGTGCATTCAGACAAAGCTAAATCATCCCTCCAGGTTATGCCACTGTACAACTTAAAATGGATTTACACACTGATATAATTGATGCAACAAAAGCATTTAAACCTTAATCAAGAGACACCCAGGAAGATTAAGCATTAGGAAAATGGTTAAGTGGTTCATGGCAGTGTATCTAATTGGCCTCCAGCGTCACTAATAAATTAATTCCTTCTTTCGAAGCCTGTTATTTAACACCTGGGGGAAACAATCTGGTTGTGGCCAGTTTAAACGCAGGCATCAATAACACAAGGCATGGAGCCAAACGGGTTTTTATACTGCTTTCAATACCAGAGAGCGATACAATTTTCACTTCAGGTCGCTCAACCTCTCTGTTCCAGGATGTCTCTTCTGTAAAACAGGGAATGCAAAAGGATCTCTCTCAGGAGTATTGTGAAGGTGAGTTACTATGCAATGGTATCTAATAAATGCAAAGCATGACAGTAGCATGACTTTATTATTAATACATGGTGGGATCCAGTCACTAAGATCTGCTAGTACAATCTGAAATTTTTGCTCTCAAACATCTTTTTTCTAAACTTTGCATTTATTTATTTTGAGATAGGGTCTCATGATGTAGCCTCAGCTGGCCTCGAATTCCCTATGTCAACCAGGCTGGTCCCGAACTCACAGAGTTCTGCCTGCTTCTGCCTCACAAGTACTGGGATTAAAGACATACCTCACTACACATGGCATGCTCTCAAACATCTTAAATGAGATGTTGGAGATGGCTCAGCAGTAAGAGCACCAGCTGTTCTTAAAGAGGACCCAGGTTTGATTCCCAGCACCCATATGGCAACTAACAACCATCTGTAACTCCTGCACCCACAGAGCTCATAGCCGCCTTGTACCTCCAATTCCAGGGGCTCCAACACCCTCCTCTGGCTTCTGCTAAAGGAGATGTATCTAAATTCACACAGCACACACACACACACACACATAAATCTTAAAAATTAGATAAATCTGCCAGGCGTGGTGGCGCATGCCTTTAATCCCAGCACTCAGGAGGCAGAGGCAGGCAGATCTCTGTGAGTTCAAGGCCAGCCTGGTCTACATAGTGAGTTCCAGGACACCTGGTGCTACAGGGAAACCCTGTCTCGTCTCAAAAAGAAAAAAAAAAAAAAAAAAAAAAGATAAATCTTTAAAAAAGATACTAAATGAGAAATTTAAGTCATCAAGAGCTACTAAACTTGGGTTCCATGTCAAAATATTTGTTATGGTTTTGATGTGAAATATTCCCAGGGGCTTCTGTGTTTGAACATTTGGTGCCCAGGTGGTGGCGCTCTGAAGAGATGTGGCCTAACAGATGTCACCTGAGGAGGGCCTGTGAAAGTTAGAGCCCAGTTCCAGGTCAGATCTGCCAAGATGAGCCTCTAACCTACAGCTGCCGAAACTGCTCCCCCACAAGAGACTGCATCATCTCAGTGAGAGCCAAAATAAATCCCTTTCCTTTACATTGGTTGTGACACTGACAAGAACCATAAGGACTACATAAAGAGGACGCAATGAAACCTGAATCAAACTCAAACTGGAGGGCACTTTAGGGAACTGCCTCACACAGAATTCCCTAAATCCAACCTAGAAAGACAGTGTGAACCTGTGCATCATCTGCAGGTTACCAAACGACCTTAAAAATATTCAGATCACCCAAATGTGACATGATTTTGAGGAAATTCTCTCTTGTTCTCAGAAAGCCCATTGTGAACAGGGAAATCCAGGAAGACAACTCTTCCGGCACCTGGCCCACTCTGCTCCACGTGGGCTGTAGGGAGGGCCCTGTTCTGTGGAGGGGAAGCCAGGCAGCCAGAGACAGACAGGTGAGCCATCAAGCCCTGGGGCCTCCTCCTTCCCCAGGACCAGAGCCTTCTGATACGGAGCCCTCTGTTTAGGAGCACGACTCACTATATTTATAATTGAAATAAACTCTCTCAAAATCCACAAGGGAATGAGAACACTGAGTTATTACAGTGAGATAAAAGTGATCCAACCTTAAAATGTTTTAGGTGAAGGAATGTTTTAGGTTTCCTAAATCCACTTAGAAATTGCACTTTGAAATTTTACTTATTATTGTATGTGTGTACATACTTGATGCATGTGTCGGAGCAGTGTGACACAGCACGTATATGGAGGCCATAGGAGAACCAAGTTGGCTTTCTCCAACTTACATGGGTTCTGGGGATCAAGCTCAAGTCGCCAGGCTTGGGCCTTTGCCTGCTGGGCCATCACACCAGTTCTAGAAAGTACACTTTGAAGGTTGGGGTGTAGTGGTAGACATTGTTCAGCATGTGTAAAGCACGGGGAGGGGGGTCAACAATATAGAAATATCTTTCTTTTGAAGATGGAAAACCCCTAAGGACCAGACCCCCAAATGTGTGTAAAAGTAACACATTTGTAACATAAAAGCAATGTAAGCAGCTTTTGTTCTGCTAATTTAACTATATGTGAAACATTCATTTCCACTGATCAGTTTTTAATTAGTAACCAACAAGAAATACTTCTTAAAAAGGCAGTAAGAATGGTAATCTTAAAAAGGTAAAAAAGAAACAAATATGATTAAAAGAGACATTGAGGAAGTCATACACAACTGTCCTACAGAAATAGTTAAACACAGCTGGGAATAGTGGCACAGCCTGCGGTTCCAGCGTTCGAGACCAAAGTGAAAGGACCATGATTTGAGGCCAGAACAGCCTGGGCTACATAATGAGACCCTGTCTCAAAAACCCAAGGGTTTGGGATATACATTTTAGTGTCACAGCACTTGCCTAGTATGTGCCATGCTCTGGGCTCTATGTGGTGGGAGGGAGAACACAAAAATGGAGAGAGATGTTTTAAAAACTTTTCATATCTGAGTAATTTCCTCTCTCAGTGTGCTCTCCCATTGTTATCTGAAATAGTCCCATCCCTCATTATAGAGCAAAAGCAAGAATCACTCTAATTTTGCAATGGGAAAACAAAGGGTGATTTGTTCATCTGAAGTGACTGTAAATGTCAAGCAAAGGTAAGTAGAGAGATCAACACGGATGCCCCAACATTATCTGACAGGTCATTAGCCTTCATTGTCAACTTAGCAGAGCCTAGAGTCACCTAAGAAGCCTCAATTGAGGGATTTCCCAGATCAGATGGGCATGTTTGAGAGCATTGTCTTGTTCATAAACTGGTGCCCACTGTGGGTGGCACCATCCCCAGGCAGGTGGTCCCATGCTTTATAAGGCTAGCTGAGCGTGAGCCTTTGAGTGAGCCAGCAAGCAGCATCCTCCACGGTTTCTGCTTCAGGCTCTTGCCTTGACGTCCTTAAAGTATGGAACACGACCTCAAAATGTAAGATGAAACAAACCCATTCCTTCCCTAAGTTGTTGTTTTCGGTGGGAGTGATTTGTCTCAGCAACAGAAAAGTAACCAGCACAGTGTCGGAGCATGGAAACAGCATCTTGGAAATAGTGAAAGGGTTGTTAAAAGACTGCATTTGGGAAACTGATGGAAAGGGGCAAACAATGCACAGAACACGTCACAAGGCAGAAAGGAACATGCTGAATTGTGGTCAATAACATCATTGTCTTACACCAAAGTACCAAAAGAAAAGCTTTTTCTCACAGTATTCAACTGAAGAACAGTTTAACTGGCTTAATGAAAAAAAAAAAAAGTTTTTATTTCCTTTTAATGTAAAAGATGTGCCTAGAACAAGAGCCAAAAACAGAGTGTTCAAAAGCGGCTCACTGCGGAACCCCTAAGCAGCAAGAAAGCATAACAGACTCAGGCACAGGATGCCGCCTCGTCCTCCACAAATGAAGATGGAAGAGGAAAACAGGGTGGAATTATGGCATTACCTGGGAGCTCCAGCCATGGCAGAAATTAAAGAACAAGGTCTTTGATTCATTAGATGTGATTTCTGCCCTATATTCTCCAATACGAGTTTGCTACCAAGGCTGTGATTTGGATTGCACATCCAGTTATTTAGCAGCATCTCGGAAGTAAAAACACTTCATCCCATAGAGAGGCCGTCTAACCACACACACACACAGCTGTGGAGGTGGCGTGTCAGCTGTGATCCTTCAGGGCTGCAGGACATGGAATGTGAGAATGAAAATCTCTCACCTTGCTGCTGTGATCTGTCTCATCAGAGGATTCCATGTCTGGTCCTTCAGTCTCCTCAGGAGCTGTCTCAGCACTACTACCCTGCTCGCTGCAGAGGCTGTGCCCTGTCACAGGAAAGCAGAAGAAAATGGAGGTGACCAGGTGCAATCTTTATCAAAAGCCACTTCATGTGATGGCGGCACAAAGTGGCGTGTGGGACATGCACATGTTATCATTGACATTGCAAGTGCAGGCCATGATCTTGGTTCCATAGATGGCAATTTCTATTGCCATTATTATGATTATTTCATATGCATTTTATGCTTTCAAATATGTTTGGTAACATACAATAATAGTTATGGACTGAATATTTGTGTGCCCTCCTCCAACCTCATGTGGAAACAATGACCACCCCCGCCCCCCACCCCAATGCCAATGGGATGATATTTGGTGGTGGAGTCTGGGGAGGTAGCAAAGCTCAGACAGATTAGGTCATGAGGGATGGCATTTGTATGATAGGTTAGTATTTTTATAAAAATAGTAGGAAACTAAAGCTGGTTCTCTCCCACCACATGAGGATGGTGAGAAGGCAACTGTGTGTAAGCCAGGAACAGAGAGCTCACCAGGGAACTCTGATGGACCAGCATGTACACATCCCAAACTTGCAGTCAAACTTGGCATTGTCGTTCACCTGGTGCTGGCTTTAGAGGCATGAAGGACGCTAGAGTGAAGGTGTCATCAGTTCTTCCTCCATGGTTTCAGAGAGCCACTGAGACCAGGCAGCATGCAGCAGGGGTTCCCCTGCCTAGAGAAGGCCCTGATAGGCCATTGTGTGAAGCTGTGAAGGTGAAGCCTGGTTGGCAGGGGAAACCCCAAAAAGTTCGTGATACCAGAACTGTGAGGCATCTGCCAAGAAGACCTGCCTAGAGGGAGTGGTATCAGCACAAGAGAGAGATGTGTGTTGCACACAGCAAAGCTAGAGAGGTTGAGCCATCTAAGCCCTTTGAAAGTAAAGTCCCAGAAGTTGGATGTGGAGCTACTGGATTTGGTGTTTGCCCTGCTGGTTTTTGGTCTTGTTTTGGCCTGGTTTACTATGCCTCCATTCCTGCCTTTTGGAATGATAATGTGTATTCGGTTCCACTGTATGTCGGGAGTATGTAATTTGTCTTTCGATTTTATAGAGGCTTACAGTTAAGATATTTACCTGAGTCCACTTTGGACTGTGGACTTTTAAATAGTATTGAGACTGATAATGACTATGGGGACTTTTAAAGTTGGACTAAATGCATTTTATATTTTATATGGTCATGAGCCTATGGGGATCAGGGGGTGGAATGTGATGGTATGAATGAAAATATCCCCCATAGGCTCCAAGTACTTGGCCATTTTGCCCCCAGATGATGGCGCTGTTTTGGGAGGTTTTAGAAGGTGTGGCTGTCCTGGAGGAAGCACGTCACTGGGGGTGGGCTTAGAGAATTCCTAAGCCTTGCCAGATCTCCAGTTGCTCTCTTGCTTCCTGTGCCTGTATGATGATGTGAGAGCTTAGCTTCTGCTGCTCCTGCTCCAGCCACCTCCAGCCACCATGCCTCCCTGCCATGACGGACTGTAATTCCCCTGGAACTGTAAGCTCGAATAAACTCTTCCTTCTAAAAATTGCTTGTGTCAGTGTTTCTATCACAGCAACAGAAAAGTGACTAGTACACACACATAGAACTCCCTAGCCTCCAAACCATCAAGGAATAAATGGCTGCTGCTTCTACCACTCAGTCTATGATATTTTTACTTCATTACAGCAGCTCAAGCTAAGATGATAATTTATAACACAAAATTAAATTTATAATGTAAGAATATAGATTTCTATTATTAAATTGATTTAATTGATTTATAATCAGTGAATTCATTGATGAAGTCACTCATTAAATGCTAAAACAACTGAATAAACCATACCAAGATCCAGCATAACCAAAAATGACCATTCCACATCCATTACTCCCAAATCCCCAAAGTCTGGTAAAACATAAGGTCTGATAACACTGTCAGCTGCTTCAACAGCAGACAGTTCCCTTCCTTTCCTATTTTTGAGTTTCTACTACAGTGGTTCCCTGCACCAGGGAAGACAGTGTCCGAATCACTTTGTATGGGGCTGAGAAGTAGTTCAGTGGTTAACATGCTCACAGGCAAGAGGACCAGAGTTCAGATCCTCAGAACCCACAGAAATGCCTGGTGGTGAGAGTGGTGCTCCCCTATAATTCCAGCCTCAGATGGGGAAAGCAGAGTCAGGGACTCCCCAGATCAAGCTGGCAGTTAGACTATCCACCCCAGAAAGCTCTGGGCTTAATGCAGAGACCTTACCTCAGTGAGTAAGGGAAAGAACGATAAAGAAAGATTCCTGACATCAATCACACTCCACACTCATATGCACGCATGTGCATACACCTCCCCCCTCCACGCTCCTGTACCATATAAACAGGAATAGATGCATGTACACCACACATACATGCACACACACACACACACACACACACACACACACTCAATCCTTTTTGACTAGAGAGTATTTGGATTCCTAGAGAGCATGTCAAATGCTGATTCCTATCCAACAGATTTAAAACTGGCCCTAACATTTCGTATTTCTTTTGTGTGTATGAGTGTATTGCCTGTATATGACTGTAAGGGCACTTGTGTTGTGCAATGTTTGCAGAGGCAGACAAGGGTGTCAAATTCCCCAGAACTAGAGATATACACAGTTGTTAGCTGCCACATGGGTGCTGGGAACCAAATTCAGGTCTTCTGCAAGAGTAGCCAGTGTTCTTAACAGCTGAGCAGTCTCTCTAGCCCCCATTACATGTTTCTTATATGCTCTGAATGATAAATCCTCAGGTCCATGGTCCATTCTGGGAGTAGAATGGCTCATACATTTGAACACCTTCCCTAGCAGAAACTGAACATGCTGGGACCTGAGGGCCACTGTCACTCCCACCTTAGGACACACTGCCTTGAAGCCTTTGGTTTGCACTTTAAAGTCTCAGGAGAGAAAGAAGTCTGTGATCAGGAAATGTGGGAAAGAGTAGGAGGAAGCAAGGCAAGACTCTTCCCTCAGACTGTATCAGGGGTACCTGGGGCTCAGATTTATTCAATGTGCTCCATCCAAGAAACCTCATGATGGAAAACCCCCTTGAAGTCCTTCTCGATTTGCATCCCAAGGGCAGGGGACAGGAGTAACATCAAACTTACTCTAAATGGCACCTACTCAGAGGCATCACAGAACGCACAGGGGTGGACCATGGTGGAGTAGGAAGCCATAACCCAGCATTACCAAATAAAGAAGAGGGCTGGGGATCTACCAGTGTTAAAACTCCAGCCTAGCTTGCCCAAGGCCATGCATTTAATCCCAGGCACAGCAATAAGTAAATAAATAAATGACAACAGCAAATTCCTGTGAGGGTAGACAGCCAATGAGCTCAGGAAATCAACCTCCAAAGGGGCAACACTGAAACTGCTTGACACAAAATGTCAAATAAGTAAAATTATATGACTTATTTATCTTTAATTTATGTGTATGGGTGTTTTACCTCCACGTAAGTGTACCCAGGCATTGCATGCGAGCCCAGAAGAGGGCATCGGGTCCTCTGGAACTGAAGCTATGGGTGGTTGTTAGCCAGCAATTTGAGAGCTGGGAACTGAACCAGAGTCCTCTGCCAGAGCAGCCAGTGCTCTTAACCACAGAGCCATCTCTCCAGACCCAATTAAAGTTATGTGAAAAACCTAAAGAGGTACTTTCAAAAAAGATCACAGAAATTAATAGAATTTCTAAAAATAAGAGCTATAACCATTGAAATTAAATAAGCAATAGATCAGAATATCAATCAAAGAGGAATGGAACTTCTGTCTGAAAGTTACCACCTTGCTCTAGAAAATCAACCTTCAAACACTGCAATTATCTACATTGGATTGCATTTCTAGTGGGAAGACCATTGGAAGGTCTGGGATGTAGCTCAGTTGTAAAGTCCTTGCCTAGCATAGAGGAGCTCTAAGTTCATTCCCAGTACCCCTCCAAATAACAAAAAGTTTTTCAAGAAAGGAATTATAATAAGAACATCTTAGAAACAAAATGAAACCATTTATCACAAATAGGACTTCACCAAAAGAAAAGTTATCTAAACAATGTATTTCAGGTGGAAAAAAGAAAATCCAGTACACAAGCCAAAATGATAAAAAGTTGACATTCAGACAGGTGAGAGTTAAAATTTACAACAATGCTCCACCTTTTCTCCCCCAAAAAACATTCGGCAGTGAAAAACTGCATTGAAGGTACTGTTAAAACTGAGGAAAAGGTGATTAAGTTTAAAACACTTCAAAGCAATTTTATGTTTCAAGAGGGAAGTAGAAAGACTAACTTTGGTTTCTGTTAGGTTAAGAATCATGCCCCATGGGGCTGGAGAGATGGCTCAGTGGTTAAGAGCACCGACTGCTCTTGCAGAGGACCTGGGTTCGATTCCCAGCACCCACATGGCAGCGACAAACCATCCTTAACTCCAGTTCCAGGAGAATCCAACACCCTCTTCTGACCTCCACGGCATTGCATGACCCACAGGTGCACTCAAATATATGCAGGCAATACACTCATACACATAATAGAAATAATAAAATATTTTTTAAAAAAAGAATCATGTCCAAATTTTAGGAGCAAGCACTAAAAAGAATGGATTATAAAACCTGTAAGTAGAATATGAAAATGCAGTTCAGGAAAGAGAAGGAAAAATGAACAAGATGAGTACAATAAAAGATTATAGAAACAAGCCAAAAATACACAGATCGACTAAACTTAAAGACAGTGTAAAATAGAAAAAGCCCCAGCAGAATGCTAGATTCGAGAAATAAGCTAAAACATAGGGACGTATAATGATAGGAGGAAAAACCAGCAACAACAAAACAGGCAAGCATATAGAAAGCTCCATAAATGACTAAACGTAATAGATTTAGTCAGAATACAGAAGAGGTTAACGTGTAGAATGTCTAAGCTTGATTCATGAATATATTTCTAGCTCTATTCCCAAGGATTAGCAATTTACACAAATGGACCAATGCTGTCTTAACTTAATAAGAGAATCTATCATACAGACCA